CGGTATAGCGGCTCTCCTACTATGGCGGCATTGGCGTCCCAACAGGGAATCTAAGGCTGCTGCCCAGCTCAAGGAGAAAGGGCCCGAGAGTGGACCACCCGGGACGCCGAAGCCCTACCAGCCAGTTGATCCGATATGGCAAGGACCGGGAGCAAGGGAGCTGGAAACGCCACAGTTTTATCACGAGTTATCTAGCGACACGTATCCCGTCGAAGCGCACGGCGAGGCTATAAGAGGAGAGCTTGATGGGAACTCCGCGAGGGTAGAGCTTCATTCCCATGATCTGCCACCCAAGTACGACCACGACCACAGCATCGATGCCACGGCTGGAGCTTATGGAAACTTCAAAGGGCCGGTCTAATGATGGATAAAAGTTGGATGACGAGACAATCAAAGAAAATAGCGACTAGGGAATCGTTGACAGCTTTACGTCCTGCATACGCTATCGCCGAGTTGAGTTGGATATCATAGAACCTATCACTAACGTATACCCGGTATCAGTCTTGCAGTACAAGACTGCCTATACCAGACCATACTTCGCGAGGGGGGAGGGTTTGGAAAAAGTTTTAACGCCCAAGGGGATACATACTTGCGGTCTGGAGGTTTATTTTGCTGGTCCAGTTTGTCGGATTTCGGGATCTATTGACTGCCTGGTCGACGCAACAGATTATACTACTAAGCGTGTGGAGTTGCAAACTTGAGTTGGATAAAAGTCAAAGATGGAACACTTGAGTGTCGCCTACTTTGCCTACTGGGAAAAAGAGGTAGATTGCAATTAGGTGAGGATGTGTTGTTGTAAGAGTGTGGGAGCCCTTCAGTAGGTCCAAGGTGTAAGATACCTCCACAGTAGTAATCGCACCTTCCTTCCTTGTACCCTCCACCTAGTACGGACAGACAAAAGGTCGTCCCTGACCCTCACGATAGCTTCAAGTCTCCCAGAGCAACAGGCTCTCCCATTACCATTCAATCCACAAGGTGCTTCCGTACAATATATACGCTTTGATATATACCCTTCGCAAGCTCACCCGGGCTCTGCACCACACTGGTGACTGGCCACCCAATACCATCAGAACAACAGTAGTAATTTCGTTGGACGTAGTACATATTGGGGCAGTATAACGAGTATAACTTCGTACCCGGGACTCAATCGAAGACGTAAATGGCGACGGAAGGCTTCTGGTATATCGTAGTGTAGAATAGGCTTGCAGCGCAAGGCTTCAGGTAGTTATCGTAGGTGTGGACGAAGGGGCCTTCTTGACTGGCGATAGACTAGGTGTGTAGGAGGTGGTTTTTCGTGTATTTCGAAGCACCAAAAGGGAGCAATTGATTATTGAATTATAATAGTATAACTATACGACGTCTAATCACCGCGGAGGCGCTTCGTACGGCCTGGACGAAATCACCAAAAAGAGGTAGATTGCAATTTGGTATGGATGTGTTGTTGTAAGAGTGTGGGAGCCCTTCAGTAGGTCCAAGGTGTAAGATACCTCCACAGTAGTAATCGCACCTTCCTTCCTTGTACCCTCCACCTCTGGGAGGCGCAGTCAAGTCGATATATTGAGGGTACCTAGGGTATCGCCAAGACATTTGTCGCTAATAAAGCTCGTCACGACCCCTAAATTTTAGTAGCATCGTACAATTCGTATGTCGCCTTTCTTTTGGTTATTGTCTAAATCTACATCTCTTGTCCCTTAAGTGACATGACTTGACTCAATTCCAGTGCGTCAAAGAGTCAGGGTGACAATGCCTGTATAACAATGCGTATGTCCATGTTGGACAATCAAAGGGAATTGGAATTCTGACGTCAGCATACTTGGTGGGCTTGAAAGAAATAAAAGAAGAGAGTTTTGTGACCCGCCCCCACTACGCCTCAGCCTAAGGCATTCAACTGGCCCACAAAGTAATTGCTTCCAAGTTGAAAGGGCGAAATTTTCGCAACCCCACTATATTAAACCCCACCATTGCCCCCCAGCCAACGAAACAGGACGCCACTGCTTTACGACTACCCAAGGAGGTACCTAAAGTTTTTATCGCCCCCGCGTTGATTCTTCCCACTGTCATCCTCGACCTTTTCAATCTACCACGGAGCATTCAACTTTTTTCTTTGTTGCTCCCCACCGATTTCGAGAAAATTCCGATTTCTCCAGGATACTTACCAGTCAAATCTAGGTTTCTGGTTAGACGGTCACATTTGCTTGTGATCGCATTGACGAATCCGTTGCTATCATTGAAGCGGCCTAAGCGGGGTAGATTTCTTCAATCAATTTCATTCTTATCATCAAACCCAACATCCCCATCTCGCATCCTACATCTTCGGCCGTAGACAAAAGGAATAAATAGCATCAAGATGGTTTCCGCATCCAAGGAGAAGCGCCTTGCTAAGAAGGCTGCCGATGGCAAGGGCGAGAAGAAGACGCTTGTTTCCAGATCCAAGGCTGGCTCCAAGGCCGCCTCTAAGAACGCAAGCGCTTCGGGTTCCGTCGCTGGCGATGACCCTCCCGACCCCGATGATGTCCCCGCAACTGACGACAGCAAGCTGGAGAAGGTGAAGGCGCTAGCAGACCAGAAGGACAAGCATGGCTTGTCTGACCGAATCACCACCGGTGTATTGGCGTCCGTATCCACCAGCAAGGACGTCAAGATCATCAGCGCCAGTCTTACCTTCCACGGTCGTGTCCTTCTCAACGAAACCGATCTCGAACTTTCCTTCGGACGCCGATATGGATTGCTCGGTGAGAACGGTTGCGGAAAGAGTACCCTCCTTAAAGCTATCGCTGCGCGAGAATACCCCGTTCCCGAACACGTCGACATCTACCTACTTAACGAAGGTGCTCCCCCTTCCGACTTGGGCGCCCTGGAGTGGGTTCTCAAGGAGGCTGAGAAGGAGATGGATCGCCTGGACCGACTAGCGGAACAGCTGCTCGAGGACGAAGGCCCCGACAGCCCTGTGCTTATGGATATTTATGAGGTATGTATCTGATTTATGACCCAAACTTCCCATATTTTACTAACAAAATGCGACAGCACATGGACAAGATGGACCCTTCGACATTCGCTACCCGAGCCTCCCTTATCCTAACAGGTCTTGGTTTCAACAAGAATACTATTCACAAGATGACGAAGGACATGTCTGGTGGTTGGCGTATGCGTGTTGCTTTGGCAAAGGCCCTCTTCGTCAAGCCGAGCTTGCTCCTTCTTGATGACCCGACTGCTCACTTGGATCTTGAGGCTTGCGTGTGGCTGGAAGAATACCTGAAGAAGTGGGAACGAACTCTTGTTCTAGTTTCCCACTCGCAGGATTTCTTGAATGGAGTCTGTACCACCATGATCGATATGCGAAAGCAACAGCTCTTGTACTACGGTGGTAACTTCGACTCCTACGTCAAGACCCGCAAGGAACAGGAGACCAACCAGATGACGGCCTACAAGAAGCAGCAGGAGGAAATTAAGCACATCAAGGAGTTCATCGCCAGCGCGGGTACTTATGCCAACTTGGTGCGACAGGCCAAATCCCGACAGAAGATTCTCGACAAGATGATTGCGGATGGTCTTATCGAGGAAGTCAAAGAAGATCGGGAATTCAAGTTCAGATTTACCGATGTCGATAAGCTACCGCCGCCTGTCCTGTCCTTTGACGACGTCACGTTCTCGTACTCGGGTGAAGCTAAGGACGACCTGTACCGCAACATTGATCTCGGTTTCGACATGGACTCGCGAACAGCCCTCGTGGGCCCCAATGGTGTCGGCAAGAGTACCCTGCTGCGCTTGATGACAGGAAAGCTGTCACCCACCTCTGGATCCGTCCGCCGCCACACCCATCTTAAGCTTGGCTTGTACTCCCAGCACAGCGCTGAGCAACTCGACTTGACCAAGAGCGCGCTGGACTTTGTCCGCGATAAGTACCGCGAGAAGTCTCAGGACTACCAGTACTGGCGACAGTGTCTTGGCCGATATGGTGTATCTGGTCCGGTCCAGACTGCTCTGATGGGTACCCTTTCTGAAGGCCAGAAGAGTCGTATCGTATTTGCCCTACTTGCTATCGATTCCCCCAACATGTTGCTCCTCGACGAACCTACCAACGGTCTGGATATTCCGACGATCGATGCCTTGGCAGACGCCATTGAGCATTTCAGCGGTGGTGTCATTGTGGTATCTCACGACTTCAGGTAAGAACCTCACACAACTTTTTTTCTTAGCTAATACTAACCCACTTGGTAGATTGCTCGACAGAATTGCTAAGCAGATCTTGGTGTGTGAGAACCGATCGATCAAGCCGTGGGACGGCTCGATAGGAGAGTACAAGAACTACCTACGGAAGAAGATGTTGGCATCTGGCGCCGTCTAAAATCGCCTATTTGCTTTTTTATCAACATATACTTCCGTGCTTGTTTTGACTGTTTTTGCGTACGCTCTCACGGGAGACAAAGATGGTGGTCATCCCACCTGCTACATTGCTGAGTAGGAGGGAGACGACACGTATAAGGGAGCAGGGTCGCGGGCCTAGAAACGTTTATAGGTTGGGCAAACGAGGTGCGGGACCGCTCTGCCTTGGTTCTGAAGAAAAAACGCTTGCTTGCTTTCTTAAAGAGGAAGCTATGCGATGGGCGAGATGCTGGCGCTGGTTAGCGCTGGGCCTTTTGCCTACATTAGACAAATTTTAGATGATTCACACGATTTTCATCTTACGGTTGTGTGAGGTGAAGTTTTGAAGATGTGATGATGTCAAGTATCTACCTACATTTTGCAATATCAACATCTCACGTTGGAACCATTGGGCTCGCATATTGATCCAAACAGAAGTCAACAACCAACACCATTTTTCATAAGGCCAACAGGAACACCTCGTATAATCAATCTTCGAACTCCACGTAGGCGTGAGGTAGGTACTTCTCTAAGTAGGTGATGTCCAAATACTCGACTAATACAAGCACCCAAAGGCTTATAGCCGGAACCATGGTAACATACACTCATCAAGAACGCGTTGTGTAATGGATTGTGATGGCCCTTTGGCCCAATGGTAAGGCGTCTGACTACGACCAAAAACGTCTGTTACGGTATAGTTAATCAGGAGATTCTGGGTTCGAGCCCCAGGAGGGTCACTTCCTTTTTTTACTCTCTTTTAGGGGTGCCAGGCAGCCAGGATGCTTTCTTAGTTAACGGGCGGGTTTCGTGGATGGACCGGAGCCGCAGAATAGATGGTAGATGGGGAGGCTAACTGATCTAGGGGTGTTGCTGATTCCTGAACTGTAGGTAATAATAATAGGTAAGGATATCTTCGCTTTAAGACGGATTGAAGTGTCTACTGGGGCGGTGATGATATTTGTTGTGGATTACTTTGTGCTTAACGGCAAGTTGGATACACTCAAGTTACCAGAGTCTCAAGGCAACCCATCTAACTAACACACATCAAGTATTAAACACAGACCACTAAGATTAAGACGTTCCAATAGTGTTCAACGCCTCAACCAGCGCAATATGCATTTAATTCGTCACGGGGTTCTTTTTTCCACCCCCTCTATCGTAATCCTACAACTTACAACGACACGACTGAAACCCCCTATCTCCTTATCTGGTCTCCGGTCGTGCATGAGAGAGCAACCAAGGAAATAAAACTCGCAAGTATGAAAATACAGTACTAATAAAAAACGGCAATCCTGTGTTCGGATTCGGCAGACTTTTCTCTCTCTTAAGTCACCTTAGCTTAGCGTAACAAGTAATTTTGGGCCCCCTCCCTCCCCCTTATTCCCCTCTCCTCCTCCTCTCTTACTCTCTCCCCCTTTTGTTCTTTTCGTACCCTCCTTTCTCCTATTTCGCAATAGGTAGGTAGGTAGGTAGGTAGGTAGGTAGGTAGGTAGGTAGGTAGGTAGGTAGGTAGGTAAATGATTAGCAGGCAAATTCTATGCGCGAACAGTTATTTGAAATTGATTTCCGCCCCTTCCCCTGATGCCTGCTGTAGGCAAACATGAAGTACCAATTATAACGCCTAAGACCCTTTCTTGTTTTTCTTTTTGTACAAGGTCCTCCCTGCTTACTACCGCGGGAGGTCCAAATTCACGTCCGATGAATACGCCGGGGATGATGATCCCGCCATGCTTGGTTTAAAATTCCATCTCGCCGTCTGCGATGGCGAGCCGCTGCTTCGTCGTCTTGGCCTTCTTACTGCCCCCCTTGCGCTTCTTTGCCGCTTTCCCGTCTGCTGCGGGCTCGGCCGGCGTGGCCGTACCCGAAGGTTTATTGCCGTCGTCGAAGTGACCCTCGCCTATAATAGTAGGTAGGTTAGTATGATAAGTTGGAGGAAATGCCGCAATATCTGGGAATAACTCACCTTCATGGTACATCTCGTCCAAGCTGACCGCCTCCCGCTTCCTCTTACCGCCAGCTCGCTTCTTGGTTGCTTTGTCCAGCTCACCATTCTGAGCAAGCTCCTTCTCCCGCTGCACGATGAGCTCCGCTTGCTCGTCATCGGCAAGCCACATGGCGATATCGCGGTTGCGGTTCTCGGCTGGACGACGACCACTAAAGTCCACACCCCGAGCACCACCACCTTGGATGACAACGCGCTGGACCTCTTCTTTCTGCATGGCACGCTTTCGGATACGTTCTTCGATGGTGCCTCGCGTGATGAGACGGTAGACTGTGACCTGCTTCGTCTGACCGAGACGATGAGCACGATCCATGGCCTGAGAGTCAATAGTAGGATTCCAATCGCTGTCGTAGAAGATGACAGTGTCAGCGGACGTAAGGTTGATACCAAGACCACCAGCACGAGTCGAGAGCAGGAAGACAAAGATGTCGGGCCGCGTCTGGAAGTCGTGCACGGTGTCACGTCGATCCTCGAGCTTCGTAGAACCATCCAGTCGGCAGTACTTGTAGTTCCTGTATGTGAGATACTCCTCCATAAGGTCGATCATTCTCGTCATCTGGAAGTACAATAGCACACGATGGCCTTCCTCCTTGAGCTTGAACAGTAGCTGGTCGAGTTTAGCCAGCTTTCCGCTGTCTGTTACGAAACGACGCATGCTGGGGACTGTGATATTCGTGAATCGTCGTTTCTCATTATCGGGTCGAGGTAGCATCGCGAGTGGCGGATAGCGTTCAAGTGGTACCTTTTGAGACACCAAAGCTCTCTCTTCAATCAAGTTGGGTCCATACAGACTCTTTCGCATCGACACGTTGAACAGAGTATCTTGACGCTCAGTGATGGGAGCCCGTGTGCCTTCGCAGGAAACCTCAAGGGGAGGAGCAGAGGCCCCTGGCAGAGCGGCTTGCTCAAGTCGGCTAAGGCCAGAACCACGCCACTTCGTCCGTGAGATATTCATCAAATTGTCAAGAATACCTTCACCGGTGATCTCAGCAAGGGCTTTGCGCTCCGATCTTGCCTTGATCTGAAACAATGCATGAGCAGGCACGTAGTTCTCCTCGCCCGGCTCATCGTATATGACGTTCATACGGCCGAGTCGATCCTCCTTTCGAACCAAGTCTGTGGCGCGCGAAAAAACGTCTTGGTGGCTGGCTTTGTAGACTTCCTGAGGGCTAGCATCCGCAAATCGAAGGAATGAGAACGCGTCAGTGCCCGATGTGCTTTCACGAACATTGTCTGGGGCCCAAATGTTCATAAGATGGTTCAAGTATTTGTTCCTGAAACCAGCCACGGCGTTATCCTTCCCAGCCTTGTATAGTCGGCCACCCTCGGTCCAGACAAGACGTGGTAATTGGTAGTCGATGAGACTTCGAGTCGAATAGCCAACTGGAACGTTGTTTCCTTCGCGAACGAACGAGGCGGTCTCGGCAAAATAGCCGCTGAAGAATGGGCTTGTCGTGTCGGCACGTTCGAATAAGTCCGGATGGTTACACACCTTTCGGAACTGCATAACGAGATTCATCAATGTGCCCGAATCCTGGTCATCCCCTAGCGTAGCCTTCTCAATGAGATCCATAATACTAATCTGGTTTCTCAAGTTTCTGTAGTAGGCACGCTGTCGGTAGGTGAGCTCGCAGAAGACGTCAAGTTCAATCTTGTCGCCCAGTTCCTTCTGGACGTGTTTCTTCACACGGCGCAGCATGAAAGGCTTGAGGATCAAATGCAGTCGCCTAAGCTGGTCCTCGTTAAGAGTCGTGTTACTTTGGGCGTGTGATTCGATATCCTTCGAAAACCATTCGCTGAACTCGTCGTGCGAGTCGAATAACGAAGGCATGATAAAATGCAGAAGAGCCCAGAGTTCTTGCATGTTATTTTGGATAGGGGTACCCGTCAGAAGCAGGCGGTTACGGCAATGGAATCCAAGCAGGCACTTCCATCGTGAACTGGAAGAACTCTTGATGGCTTGCGCTTCATCGAGGATCATGTATTGCCAACGCATCTTCTGGAAATATGTCACATCGGAAACAACCAATTGATAGGACGTAACCAAGACATGGAAAGGCGCATCCTTGCGATAGGTATTGTGCTTGCGGTCCCAGAACTTTCGTAGCACTTTTCGATCACCGGCCGAACCCCAATATGGAAGAACCTTGAATTCGGGAACGAACTTGGCGATCTCCTGCTGCCAGTTGTGTAAGGTAGAAGCCGGCGCAACTACGAGGTACGGACCCCAGATATCGTGCACCTCGGCGAGGTAGGCCATCACAGAGATGGACTGAACTGTCTTGCCTAGACCCATCTCGTCGGCCAAAATACCGTTGATGCCCTGTTCGTAGAGGTTGGCTAGCCAATTTAGACCCTTCAGTTGGTACTCCTTGAGTTGGCAGTTCAACAACTTCGGCTGCTCGACAGTCACATCACCAAGGCCAGTGGGATTCTGGAAATTCATCTCGCCATCCTCATCCATGTCGTTATCGGTCTTGTTGAAGCTGCGCGCCTTCTGCTGGGCCTCCGCGATAGCGTTTTGAGCATTCGCTATAGCAGCTTGTTTCAGAACTTCCTCATCTTCTTCGTCGAAATCTAACTGGTTAAAGTCAGTAACCTTCGAACCAATAGGGCCGGACGGTTCCGCAACGTCATCATTGTTCGGCCTGGCTACTGCGTTGGCATCCGGTGCAATGTCCGGATTATCGGTGCTGCGCTCTACTTCGTCTGTTTTGATCTTCTTGCCAATGAAGTGGGAGTATAGCTCGGTCTGGGAGATAAGGAAGTTCAGCTTCCTCTTCTGCCGGGCAGCTTCGCGGTCGGCTTCCTCCTTACGGGCGTTCTCAAGTTCTTGTCGCTCTGCCGCCTTGCGTAGATCACGCTCCTCACGCTCGTTGCGCTTCCAGAAGCCCATCATATCACGCATGCAACGCTTAGCACGAGCCTGAAGGTCCTTGGTACCTTTGTTGGTTCGAAGCTGCCAGCGCTTAGCTTCCTTGGATGCCAGTATAGCGGTCTTCTTCAGATTCGAGGCTTTCGTAGCATAAGAATCTACTGCCAACTTGAACGTTTTCGGAACATCTTTGCGAGAGAGGTCGCGCCAGATCTGGTCGTAGATTTGATTGTAGCCTTTCGACTGAAATTTGGTCTCGAGAGGATTGACGGGAGGTTCTTCCACTGACTTTTCCTTGTCCCTCGACTCCTTCGCGGAGGGATCCTTGGAGTCTCTTTCCTTGTCTTTTGGTTCCCTGGAGGACGATTTGTTCAATTTGATTCGGATCTTGTTGCTTTCTTCCTTCGTGGGGAGTTCCTCGCCAGCGTCAATTGCAGCCTGAGCGGCGATGGCTGAATCCTTCTCCGCCTGCTTTTGCTCCTTGGACTTCTTCGGGCGGTTACCGCTACGGCCCTTGCCTTTAGACTTGGAGCCAGTCTCTACCTCATTCGCCTGGAACGTCGACATTGTACCGCCCTCCAGGTTGAGTTCGAGCGGAGGCATGCTGCGTGCTGGACCTTTAATCCCTTTCTGTAAGATCAACTTGGTTTGCTGTGCCTTTTTATTGGCACGCTCCGCGTCTCGCAGATACCTAGCGCGCTCAGCATCGTTCTCGGCAGCCAGTGCCTTTGCCAAGGCGGCTTCCTTCTGCTCTATTGTGACTTGCATAGACTTCTCTCTACGTCGTTTTCGCTGCATGTCCTTTTTGCGCTCTTTCTCGGCATATATCTCGCGTTCGCGCACCTCTTGAGCGGCATCTT